ACCTGTGCTGTTGGAGAACTGTACCGGAAAAGAACAATCAATAACTGCGACCAATCACATCCGCGGACCATTCATTCCTAATTAACATGGATTGGAAACATTTACCGAAGTGTAAACTTTTCAACGCTGTTTTCGCCCGATCCTACGCAGTAATTTTGACTTGAAATGTTTCAAAAGGTAAAGAGCAAGTAAGAAATCGAGTTCATGTTAAGAAACAATTAATTCCTTGCGATTTGAAGCAAGCATTTCGGAACATTGAAGTAAAAATTGTCGATTGATCGTTCTTTTTATGTGCGTAGCAACCTTCGTTAGCAACTGAGCAACTCGATCGGGAAGATTTGTGGACATCATCAAATTTGGACGGAGAAGAAAACTATGGACTCGAGAAAGTTTTATTTTCATCCTCCAATCACGGGATATATCAAAGAAAATCAGGAGCCGAACTTGAAATTTGAGCGAAAGATCGCGCGCGGTTAGTTCCTTCTTGGTTTCGACTGTACTGTTTGAGTGAACATGGATGAATTTGACGAGAATGGTTGGGCCCACGTTCACCATGCAGCCTACAATGGCTACTATAAGAGTGTTAGTCGCTTCATCAAGTCGCGAGAAGACCAGTTAGAGCTTGAAACTCAAGACGGACAGCAGCTAACTCCCTTTCTCTTGGCGTGCACCAACGGCCATCTTGAAACTGTACAACTTCTCGCAGAAGAGTTTCATGCAAACTTGAAGGCTAAAGATCGGCAATTGTTTGGCGCTGTAGAATTGGCAGCGTTGAAGGATCACATCAATGTTCTGGAGTATCTTTTGAAACTCGATAGCCCTGACCTCGAGGTGTGGAAAAATTTAATTCGTGGCCTATCGGTAAGTGATCTCGAGACATCGTGCGCCAAAGCTCTCGTGGAACTCACGACGGAGGAAAATTGTGATCATTTAGAATCGTTCTTGAACGCCGGGGGTGTTCTGGCGATCTTAAATTTGTTGAAAAACTCCTTGTCGAGTGAAGAATCTAAGATCTTTGCTCTCTCGGTATTGTTGAACCTTGTTAGACATGATGCAGGAAAGGAACAGTTGAGCAAAAATCGAGCGGTGCCTCCCATTATCTTGCAACTTAAAGAAACCACGAGAGCTCTGTATCTTCCTGCTACAAGACTGCTGGAAGCACTGGCTTACAGTGAGGAGAATAAAGAGGCTACAGTCAGTAATGGGGGAATCGATTCCCTAGTGCGGTTACTTCGGTACAGTGATGATGAAGAAGTTGTGGAATCAGCATTGAGTACCCTAAGGGTTTTATCCAACTCAAATTCTGAAATACAAACGGCTGTTGGAAGTAATAAGGACATTTGGAAGTCCCTGGTTAGCTTGCTGACTGGAGTTAAAAACAAGCATGTCCTAGCAGCAGTGGCTAAGACAGTGGGTGCCGTTGTCAAGGGGCACACAGCCAATCAGAATGCCTTTGTTGCTGAAAATGGAGTACCACCTTTAATGGAACTAATGCGTTTACGATCAAGAGAGTGTCAGTTTGCTGCTGTTCAAGGAATTCAAGCATTAGCAGAAGGTAATGAAGGCAATCAGAGTACTGTGACGGAACATGGATGTGTAATGATGCTGATGAGACTGTTAAAGCGATCCAGAGCAGCTGATTTAAGAACACTGACTGCTGGAGCTCTTTGGGCCATTGCTGGGGAAAAGAATGCTCAGAGGCGATCTATTGGTGCTGAAATTGGCGTCAACCTCCTAATTGAATTTCTTTCTGAGAATTTACCTCAAAGTCTGCATTTCATTGGATCAGAGGCTCTAGGAGTCCTTGCCGAGGGTGTGAGGAACAAAAGAGATGAAATCGCCAAGGCTAATGGTGTTACGCCATTGGTTCGTCTTTTGGGGAAATCAAACACACCAGGATACATCATTCTTAGTGTGCTACGGACATTGCGAGCATTGTGTCTCTGTCTTGGTTTCAGACCACATGTCCAAAATCAGGATGCTGTTACCAAAGAAGGGGGTCTAAAATTTCTGATCAGGTATATGGTACAAGCAAGGCAAGACATCATCAAGGTAGAGGCGGCTTATACACTGGGCTGTGTTTGTTTGAGTAACAGTGCTAACATGAAAGCAACATTAGATCACAAGGATTTCAGTTTTGTACACATTCTCCGACAGCTTTATGATGAAGATGATGAGGTGCACTTGCTTGCTGGTGCCGCTCTGGCTGTATTTGCTTACAACAATGTTGCAAACCAAAGGAACATTGCTCTGTCAGGGGGAGTGAGGTACCATGCCTTTGTCCCATTTTTGGAATCCAAGAATGAAAAGCAGGCTACTTATGCTGCATTTCAAGTTGTTGTTTTGTCTCGGATCATCCCTGATGAAGACCAATCCTTAACATCAGCGACTGGAATAAAACTGTTAGTTTCACTTCTTGACTCAACAACTGAAGACATTCAAGCTGCTGCAGCAAATTTTATCGGAGGTCTGGCACATACAAGAGCTGGGATTCCAGGTGCCATCATCTCCATAGGAACAATTCCCTTACTAGGAAAGCTCTTGACATCACAGTACGAAACTGTACAGGCAGCTGCAGCTGTTGCCCTTGGATACCTGAGCTTTGACAGTATAGGCGAGAGACAGCTTCTCAGTGTGTGTCGCCGTGACCCTTTTCTTTATGAAGTGATACAGTTTCACGCAGGAAAAGTGAAACTGTCACCGCAATTTGTGGAGAGATGGCAGCACTGCAAGAGGATTGGCCTCCCTCCAATAATGTAAGTCAAGTGTTTGTATTTTATGTACATGTTGCATGCAGTCAAACTGCTACCAATTCTGCTTAATGTGGACAC